CGACCCACCGTTATCGTGTTTCTTGACATAAAAGGTGCTTTCGACTCAGTCGATCGATGTGCCTTTTGCGACTGTCTGCTGAGGAAAGGTGTGCCTGATAAATATGTAAACATTATCAAAGCGCTGTACGCGCATAGTTCGGGCAGAGTGAGGGTTTATGGCAAACTGTCGCCACCCCTCAGTATCACCAGCGGTGTGGAACAAGGTTGCCCGCTGTCACCTTTCCTATTTAACTTCGCAATTGACAAAGTCATGGAAACAGCGTTCGCTGGACACGATCTAGGAGGTGTGGAGCTACTTCCTGGTGAGCGACTTCTTATCTTTGAGTATGCGAACGATATTGCCCTAATCTGTGACAGCTTCCAAACATGCCAAGCAGCACTGGACCGATTAGCGCTGGCTGTCAATCGTTTTGGACTATGCTTTGCTCCATCGAAATGCGAAGTGCTTCTCCAAGATTGGCAGGGACCCAACCCTGCGCTAACGCTTTGTGGTGATCTGCTAGTAGTCGTTCAGGAATTCAAGTACCTGGACAGCTATATTAGCACCCGTGGGATTGAAGATGAGGTTACGAACCGTATAGCAAATGTTCGAGGTGCCCTTGCGAATCTCCGCCACCTGTGGCGCAGACGCGACATTACTCTCGCCCTCAAAGGCAGAGTTTATAACGCAGCCGTCCGCGCAACTCTCCTATATGGTTGTAAAACTTGGCTCATCAAGTCGACGACATAAAGAGGCTCATCATATTCGATCATCGCTGCCTTCACAGCTTAGCTCATGTGTGGTGGGAGCACCGCGTGAGCAATGAGCGTGTTCGGCGTCGCGTATTTGATGCAGGAAGAGCGAGTGAACCGCTCAGCACCATTATATCACGCACCAGGCTCCGATGATTGGGCCGCATGTTGCGCATGCCAGCATACCGGCTTCCGCGACGTGCATTGTTTGCGCGTTGTGGGTGCGGTTGGAAGAGGAGGAGGGGAGGCCAAGCGATGACTTGGTCGAGAGAGATGAAAACCCTCACTTCGAAGTTGGCGTCGGTTGGTGCATCCCGATTGCCTTGCTGGGGTCCTAAGGACGGTGAACACGTTTGTGTTGTGAGTTTCTTTGTCCATCCCCCTCCAATCACGATCTCACTCGTTAGGCATAATATAACTCTATTTTTACGGCACGATAGCCAGCTGTTAGCTCTCCGGAACGATGTCCATCAGTCGGCGTGCCACTGTTTGTTTTCCTTTTCTTGTCTTTTGTATTGCGGCACAATAGCTGAGGTGTTTTCCACCTACAGCTAACGTGTATAATGAATGAATGAATGCAGCCAATTAAGAGGTCCAGGTGTTCCCCAATGCTCTGTACCCAGATTGAGTATTCGGGTAACCAATAGATAGAGGCATAAAAGTCCTCATAGCTAAGGAATCCGCAACCCCGGCTAGTGACGCGTCCATTACAGGAAGTTCTGTAACCCGGAATGTGAAGAGATGTGTCAGGTGCACCGGAGGATTGCCATGTTTCGGTAACGAGAACCACCTGAGAACCAGGGAAAATGACAAAAGGACCTAGTAAGTGCATCTCATATTTGATTGATCGAGCGTTAATGAGAAATGCTTTAACCGGCTCATTATTAGATATAGCTGCAGTAGGGGTACCAAGTTCAATGTCGTCACGTTTATCCGTACTCGCTGGCTGTTTGCATCTTGCAAAGCTTGCAAATATTTGTGCCGCTTTCATTGTAAATGTTGTGTACATCAGTAAACGCAGTAGGTGATAAAGGCATGGCCGTTGCATTGGACGTGTAGATGTGATGCATAGTATTAGGGGGATTGTAGGCAGCTGCATGATGAGAGGACGGTGGACTGGTGCCACAAATGTGATCGTTGTCATTGTATGGGTTGTTCTCTACCGTAGCGGAGTTGGTAGGAGACAGCCGGGTACTGGATACCAATAATTTGCGGGAACTTGAGACATAGATAGATACTGGATAAATAGTATAAGGCAACTGTGCTCTCCATTTGGATTTGGTATGGCGAGTCGCAACCCGCCACATTCCATAAAAAAGGTCTGGGTGTTGGTAAGAGTTAGGCAGATGCCCCAAGTTGTTTTCGAAGGGCCAGAACCCAATGGATAACGGATGGGACTTAGTCTAGCTCTGGTATCCGTGTAGTTCCGTCCGTTAGTCAATTTATCTCGCCATTGCTCATGAAGAGACGATCGATGTCGTTGAGCAGGAGGGTAACAGTTGCAATTTGTCGCGTTTGGTGTCTCCAGCAGATATGAGCATCGCGGTGACTGCGCAGCCTGCTGGTATCGAGGTTTGTCTTGTGTCCGTCGTAGATGTCTCTTTTGGGTTGCACAGACGACTGTCATCGTGGAGGTGACGAGCGTGATTTTGAGGATATGAGGTCAGGGATGTCTTGCGTTTTTTAGGTAACATTTTACCTGCGGCGAATAGGTGGCTGGAGAATTTTGTAACTGAACATCATGAGAGCCTGTAGCAGCATGAAGCGGGGCGCTATCGATCTCAAGCTCACTGTCTGCGTCCTGCATGTCATGGTTTCTGTTTTGAGCAACTATTGTTGTCTCATTAATAGAACATTATTACAAAGTTGAATGAACTTCGCGGGGTCGTCGACGGCCTCCACTGTCGTTCGCGACGCAGCTTTATATTTTCTTGTGGACGAAATTACATGCATTGGAGACGAGTTTAGGTCTACACCTGGCGTTATGACCAAAGTAGTAGAACTTGCACTCTGTGGCACGGAGCGTCTATTTTGCACGGCAGGAGCCGCACTTGAAGATAGAAAAGCTCTCTGTAGAGGCGTCTTATCGGGTTTAACTATGATCTGGCCAAGGTTCGCCTGGGCTCACAATTTAAACCTGCTGTCCAAAAATGTCTTGACTAAATCTCGGCTTTTAGCGGTAAAAACGTTGGGGCAGGTTCGCCCCAATGTCTTCTTCATCACTCGCTTACAGATGCAACTGTCCAATGGTATGTTACACAAGCCTAGCAGTCAAGAGCCACTCGGTCCGGAGCATTGGAAGGACGATGTCGTAGGCACTGTGAGCGCGCTCATTTACTTCGTTGGCAATAGTCGCGAGGAGTTCCCCGACGGCTTTCAACTCAATGGGACTATCAGATTTGCAGATATCCGACAGCTGAGATAGTGGCATCATCTTTGCCAAAGATTTAGCAATGTAGATTAGTTCATTCACTTCGTTTTCAAGAGAGCTACTTTTAGCCAGCGCATCAGACAACTGATCAGGAAGGACGGTTTTGCACCCTTTCATCAATGTTGAGTGCACGTTTGGTGTTGACACTTTGGCAGTCGTAGCTGTTTTCACAGACTTAAGGCCATGATTATTACGTTGAGTTCGCATGATAGGCAAAATGGACATACAGCAACAGAAACGATAATTGGGTGAAAAATAGGCAAAACTGACCAGTCCTGACACTACTGGTATGGAGGGAAAAAGCTAGATGAACACACGGGTCCAAAAATGGGAAAAAGAAGTGATGGTAAAAGTGTTACTTTTTAGTAACACAGATGAGTTAGCAATGAGTTTATGTTGGATTCTAATGGAATCCAAGTGACCTGATAAACCGAGCAAAAATTTCGTGCACCGTGGGATCGAAGCTGAGATCATTAACCGTACAGCAAAAGCTGGAGGCTCTTTTGTCAATCTATGCCACTTGTGGCACCGGCGCGACATCACTCTCTTTTTTAAGGACAGTGTTCACAGAGCAGCTGTGCGTTCAACCCTCCCGTATGGTTATAAAACTTGGCCCATCAAGTCGACAGAGGCTAGTTACCTTCGATCATCGCTGCCTTCGCAGCTTAGCTCATGCCTGGTGGGAGCACTGCGTGAGCAATGAACGTGTTCGGCGTCGTATATTTGGTGCAGGAAGGGCGAGTGAACCATTAGATCACGCACCAGGCTCGGATGGTTGGGCAACCTGTTGCGCATGCCAACACGGCTCGCGCGACCTGCGTTGTTTGCGTGCCCGGGGTCTACATGGGAAAAGATGAGCGGAGGCTAAGCGATAACTTAGTCAAGAAAATGATGGCCCTCGCTTCGAACTTGGCTTCGGCTGGTGTCTCTCGTCTGCCAGGCTGGGAACCGAAAGACCATGAAGAGGTTTGGTTGGAAACAGTACCTGACATGGCGAAGAACTGACCTCAGTGGCGTATGTCGTGAGCCTCTTTGTCCTCCCCTTCCTGGGTATATTCCCCTACAACCACGTTCTTGCACGTGTTGCTTAGTATGATAAGTTTATGTGTTTATATTGCGTTCTCTAACGTCTTGTATCTCATTTTTCTCTCCGTAGGTCTTATCTTTTTTATATTGCGGCACATGAAGTGAAGTGTTTTTATTAGCTAACACGTACCTGTGATGATGACAGCAACCAGTGAACGGTATCAGCCGCTTCACAACCACCAAATGGCATGTGCAGAGCGTCTGGATGACTACTGCAGCGAAGAAGCGAATGCGGTCAAAGTAACGCCAACTAACGGGTCCAGTGAAAGCGCAGTGGGATATCGCCATAGCGAATTGGGCTGTGAAGCCGGTAATAATAGCATTCGCTGCCATTAGGCAACTTGAGACACACCAGCACATATGAGACTCACTCGGCCGGTGGCCGAGTGGTTGGCACGTTTGCTTTCCAACCATAAGGTCACCGGTTCGAATCCGCGTAGGGGTGGACGTCCTCGCGGTATACAGCCCGCGCGCGACTGGTGGTGGTCGCGCGGCAGCGAAGCGCCGTTACGGCGTATAAGCTGACACATTTCATTTTCACCGATGCAGTTTTGCAAGCCACAATGTTTGGTTAAGCATGAAGGTCGTTCGGTTTTGGACAGTGTGACGAGCCAGATGTAGTTGTCAGTCGCTTTTTGACTCATAATGTCTGCAAGATGACGCTTAATTCATGCACACCATTCTCAAGCCTTACTTTCGGTTCATTACTGCTCACCGTCTTACATGATCTTGCCAATGATACCTTCTAGGGAACGGTATCCTCGGATAAGAACGAAATTTTGTTTTCCCAATTCGGATGCAATTACAACAACGAGCCGGAGCTATTTCGGAAAGGAACAGTCATCTTCCGTAAAAAGGTGAGCACCTTTTGACATTTGAAACAACCTAGAGGGTGGATAAGCTAAGGTGTATCGCCTTATTCTTTTTTACGTACTTCACACCTACAAAGTGCGACGTTCTGTAACAGAACACACCACGTTATGGTACAGCCACTAGAAGTAGTTAAGCGCTCTACTCATCTACTTGATTGTAACATTTATAGCGGTTGTATCACTGTGGCAACTGTACGCACTGCTACGGATTAAGTGGCCTTCCAGAATCATTCTCATAACGGAAACGGTGGAATATAAGCTTGTTGGCTGGGGGAAACACTGACCGCGCCCTAATGTGGCCGATTTAGAGACCTGCTCGCTGTGTGCCGATTATCATGTTTGATCATTGTTGCTTGCGTCAGGTTGATCATATCTGGTAGAGGCACCTGGTAAGTAACACTGAAGTTCGATGTTTGTTAACAGAGCTTCCAGCGCCTCCATGGAGTACCTCTGCTGGTTAGGCCATGTGCTCCGCATGTCTGCAAGCCTCGGTACGGTGTGGTTTACCAATATGGCATCTAGCTGGGTTAAACTTTGAGTTAGGTCGCCTGTATGAATTGATGCCTCAGGAAGGGTCACATCGCCCGTTAGATATCTCACGAACATGCAGCAGCCATGAAGTCATTGGTGCCCCTGCAATCCATTTTTTCATGTTAGACTCCATCTGACTGTATTAATACTTGTCCATTCCTCTTGACTTGCAACTACATTCAAACCTCCGAAGTTGACATACTCATTTTTTATTGCTTGGACGCCTATCATGTAAACTTTATGGAACCACTTTTTTCCAGTGGTCAGCTTACGGAGGTTTTACTGTATTTGTGTGTCGAGAAAGATTCGCGGCACCTTCGTACACAGATCGACTGAACTGAACCGCACTTCATGGCGATAGTGATTTATTGCCTAAATCGTCGGATGCATTTGACGTCAGCTGATATTATGAATTTGATTCCCTCTGCAGACCATCTATTGACAAATCTGACGCACACAGTATCTATGGGATTGTCTTTCCATCTGTCACAGGAACCGAAGGGATCACTTGAACAAGCTAACGTCGACATAATCGGAGACACCTTTTGGAAGGCGCATCCAGAAATACTAGAACCTGACTGAGACGTCTTATTTTCCGTATCAACAGTAAAAAAATGTACATGTGTAACCACGTTCGTTCTATTGATGGAAGCATAAAAAATGCACAGGCACCCAATTCACTACAGATCATATTTCAAACGCCGCTGTCGCATCCGTTCTAACTCATGGTGCAACATATCATTCCCCGAGCCCCAAGCAGGTCGTCCACTGGCGGGGCAATTCGGTGCCGGTGTCCATGTGCCTTTCGCTCGTAGGGGATGATATATCTCAGGGGGATCGCCCTCACGCAGCCTGATGTACAAGTTTGAGTAATGGTAGTTGCTGGCAAATACTTGACTCCTCAAACCTTTGTGAAGTCGAGGGACGGCACGACCTCTCGAAACGTGCGCAGATTCTAAAAGGAGAGATGATGGTTAAACTGGTGTGTACCATTTAATTTCTTCCACTAAACTCTCAGGTTACACAAAGTGCATGTGACACTGAAGAAGCACGTTGCATGTGCTAATTTTATGTTAAAAAGAATAAGAGATACCGAGAAAGCAGCAATTTTCAATGGTGAAAGCTTAGCAAACAAAACTGTCAGTGATGAACATTGTAATGCGTAAACGCATCATTAACGCTAAGAAGCTTACCAAAAACACAAGATGCAACGCGGCCGGTAAAACAAAAGTAGCCACGGCGCGTCTCGGTAAGGAGGACAACACAAAATAAGACACGTTCAAACTTCAGCTTACGATGGTGTAGTGATATGAAAAATAACAAGCCATTCGCTCTGAAGCTACTTCACTAGGAGGACAAAAACCGACCAGGGGGAACAACAGCAAGTGCTACCCTAAATTCGTGGTTTCTCGGAGCTGGCCGTACTGAGTGACAGTGACTGCGTGCAATCTAAAAAGACGAGCGATGACAACGCACGCGGTACGGTTACGTGTCACACATCGACCTGTGTACATCGACTTTCTTGGAAAGGAAGGGACTTTGAAAACCGTTTGTGTAGCCATAGCATACTTTACACTGGCCAATCCATGCCACATACTGCCTCAGTCATTTCGGATAGATATAAATAATCCACAGATAGCAGAAGTTTAATAAAGCCGCTAAAGCACACTATTATCTGGCAGGGCCATAGTCAAGTTGGAAAATGGGGTGCCCTGTAATGTGGAGATAAACCGCTGTCTAAACGCTTCTGTGCTCTCATGAATATCTGACATTTTGTTAGCGGTCATAAACAGTGTTTGATTACTTCCGGAACCTGGTCAGTTCCCATCGAGGAAGACGACCGAGACTGTTATCTGCAGAATACAAACTCGACGAGTCATGGAGTGTAGAAATGCGAGTGGTACTCCTTATTCAGGCCAGTAGCTTGCACCTGAGAGTTCACGTTCACATGCGTGTAATACTTAGGCTAATCGTGTTATGTGAAGCTCACTTAGGGCCAGTGCACCCACTCTAAAGTGAGTAAATATTAGAGCATAAAACCGTGAAGTGCCTGGAAGTGCTACACAAGCGGAATCGCCATGTTCAACCGAAACACACACACAAAGTGGGCACAGCAACTACGATGACCCAGCTAAATAGGCGACAAGTATCGTAAAGTGCGGTCGGGGGGTCAGATGCGTTGAAAGATAAGCGTGGAATGTACATTATAATCAATCCGGATATAGACAACTTTAAAGACCCTGGAAACACAAGGCGTGTCAACGTGTTCAACTAAACGAGTGATGCCTTAAACCGAGTATCTTAGAAAAGAGTGAAACAGTATCAGTTAGCGAGTTTCTCTTTGTTCAAAATGCAAAGAGCAAGAGATAATCCAGTTAGGACATCTGAGCTGCAAATCTGCGATTACGGGATACTCACCAAGTAGTGCTGAGAAAAGACGTTATATTTTCAGTTCTTAAATAGATAACTACGGAGGGCGAATACCAGTGGGTCGTAGATCATCGAGATAGGAGTAGCCCTATCCGAATAGATGTTACGTGTGGCGCCAGTCAGTCGAAAACATTGCTAAGGATTCTTTTCCGCGTCAACTTGTGTGTGAAGCACCCGTTGTACACAGGAATACGCGTATGGAAATGCGAGATGATTAAATCAGCAACGTACCGATCCATATTTTGGTACAGAATTCAAAGTCGTGTTCTTTTACCGCAAGCTCTATAGATTCTGTTAACACCTGAACAAAAGGAGATAAGCAAGGTTATCGGAATAACGTTGTGCTGATTGGGGATAAATGGCGCGACATCTGACTGGTTATCAAAGGTACACTGCCTTCGCTTGCTAGGTAAAGGAGTAGTCAGCATAAACCAGTAACAGAACTCAAAGCTCCATCAGGATAATAAACTTTGTCCAATTGAGGTTAATATCGTGGAGCCAAAAATCAGTTATTCGATGCGATAAAGTGTTAAACAATCGATCGAAATAAGGACACCTGAGACTGGTCGCCACAAGACGTTCAGGTGCATGTATTTCGTGTTGCCGCATCAGTTCGGACAATAAGAACTCAGAATGTTCGAGGATGAATGATGCTATTTTCCTAACAAATCTTCCTATCGGAATTTCTAAAATCCACAAATGGATGCGCTAATGCTATAGCGAGGAAAATCACTGTAACAAGCCCTACACGTGTAGCCCAGTAATGAAGTTGACCACCTGCAATCTCTACATCCCTGAGACGGGACCCAGCTCCGAATTACTCTCTGAAGGGCATAGGCGAATACAAAACTGGTCGCGGACTGCGATGTCAGGAGCGTGATGCGAAAAATTTCTTCACATAGAACACGATTCCGATGGTCAAACACACTGAATCTGGTTTCAGACCGTGATGGTATGCCTCCATTTCAAAACTCAGAGTAAACGAGGAATCGCAACATTGCGACTCAGTTCAGTATTGATGTGCCGTGATCAGTGACCAGACCGTTTTGGCAGGGCAATGCGATAGGCCGAACCGGCAAACTTCACGTCGTGCATGTCTCGGAGACACAGAACCCTGAGTGAAATTAAAATTTTCCTGTTCAGCGAGCAGCAAGAAAATTAAATCTCAAACGGAAACCTTTGTGCGAAACCGATCGACTGTGACTGACGGGTTCACAGGCAACTTGTTGCTGTCTACTCTGAAGACTTGTGAATGATCGAAAATGGGCTTCACTTTGGAAACACTATTCTCTACAGCGAGTCGTCATTCGACAACCCCTATCCGGCGTCGTTGAATGAATGACACAATGTACAAGTGAAAGTCCGTCTGAAACCAACTGCATGTGGTCTTACTAGTGTTGGAAGGATAAGTGTAGTCATAGTCAACTCCATATTGAATTGATGAGAATACAATACTTATGCAAAAAGAGCGTAAACCTTTCATCCGGGAAACATGCTATCGAAAAATCGATAGTGAGATTTAAACTGATTGGCCAAAATGAACGACGGAGCTTAGATAAACTACAATGAATAAACATTTGTGACGTTCGCTGAGTATATGAGCGGCGAGCGTGCAGGACTCCTTTTCGAGACAAGGTTCCCAATGAACGAAAAGGAGTTGTATGAGAGATCGATTCGCAAAAAAGCAACATGGTCTGCCATTTAGGTACACACTAATGTGTGCACGAGTGAATGCATGAGCAAGTACCAGTCAAGCGAACCAGACGCATTCGCTTGGTTGATTTTCCGACTGATAAAGAGAGCTCATTGCCAACGTTCGACCTTACCAAACACAATTCGGAAGACGCTTGGTTTTGAAATATCTACTGCATGCTTGAGCTGTGACGCCACGATTCTTTTCGTAATAGACCTAGGTCACTACAACCGCTGAGATTGCATTCGGCGCGTAGATACTTTGCGTGTTACTTGCTCTCAACGCTGCACTGCACACTCGGTTATGTCCTCCCTTGGTAACCGGCATGTAGTGATTAATATTTGACGCCTTGGGTATTAGTTAACTGAGCTTCACGGTTAGGAATTTAGCTACAACGGATAAAACTTTTCCGACTGCGCGGTAATTCAGCTCAGCTCACTTGAAGTGAGAATAGATAAGTAAGACCGTCGATCGCTGTGCACGTAATCCGCCGCTTATACTCTGGTACCTTGGACACAATTTAATCAGGCGTAAGTAAAATCACAAAACTCCGGATTTTCGCTTCCCTGATTTTGTTTCTGTCTCAGCGTTAGGGATCATGTTTAAGTGCGTTGGGTTCTGTTATGGATTGCACAACCAGTGACATGAGTACCAATCCGTTCGCTTACTCTACCGCCTGCTTTTTTGCTCGTTCGTCCGAATCGTTTATATAACGTCGTTCGACAAACAGCCCCAGGTATCGATATGCTTCTGACTAAGCAAATGTTGCACTTGACCGCTCCACAACAAACCTAATCACCACCGCTATCATAGCGAATGAACATTCCAGAGGATTTATCGATAAATACGACATTGTAACTAAGAACACCACTACCTAGTTGATGTCTATGGGTGAAGATTAAGCGTTTGCTCCCTACCAAACAGAAAAATTATTGCGCTGCCAAATTTATCGACAGGAACCGAGCTCAGTTTTAAAAGGCACCTTTAGTGGAGTGTGTTTGGTCATGGGTCTGCTAGCGATGTGTATACTGACCTGCGTTTAGGCAGAACTGACTGGTTTTGACAGGCAAAGGAGCAGTTGCCGAAGTAGATCCGGTGTGGGACTACCCAGAGCCTATGTTACTGAAGATCCGTGTTCGCGCAGGTGAGCAGCCTCAAGGAAACTTAGACACTCATAGCTCTCAGATCAACTGGTCGACGCAATCGAAATAACACCACGTCTCCCTAATTCTTGTTCCTCTCAATTAGCCAAGGCTGTTGCACAGGGTTGGAGAAAACTGGCGCGACAGTTAAAAAGAACTATCGGTCAGCTCCAAAATAAGTGGACTGCCTCACCATTACGAGAGGCTGCTCGATTACAGGAGCACCAGTAGTGTATCAGCCGCAGTTTGCAGCAGCGTGTTGCGCCTTGAAAGTGCAGCGAATGTGCAAAAGCGTAGAAGACTCTGCACCGGCCCATCCGATGACGGTGGTGAAGAGAGTGGGTCCCAGCGTGCCCTAGGTTCGCAAGTAGGTCATTGAGCTAGCCTATTTCCACAGAAAAGTCGATCGAGGCAGTCATTCTCAAATATATGGACTGTGAAACTGTAGGAATAAATAAATGGGAAGGCACTGATGAGCTCCACTCACGAGACCAGTTCACGTCGATCAGTATCCGGTCTTAGGAGTCAAAGACCGAGATCATCTAACTTTCAATCGCTGAGAGGCCCATAAATGGAGGTATTCGGAAAGAACCAATCAATGTATGTCCGCAAAGCAAAGGATGTACAAGCCATTATACAGAGTTAAGATGCAATGTCATTGTATTGGGGGTACCCTAGACTTACTTCCTCTAATATGCGCGCACCTTTTTCTGGTCGGAATGCTAATTGTTCGAACGCATTGTCCACAGCCATCCCACGAATCTGGAGAAAAGAAAATTCCGTTAGATGAGTGGATAAAGGAAAGCAAGAGATATTGGAGCATCCGCGAACAACAAGGAGTTGAAAAGCGGTTCTATTTATAGAAAGCACGCACGAACATGGATGCACGATTTTCAGTTTGTTTTCAGGGTCTACCTCCATTCTGACAAGTCGTTAGGAGGGTTTCACTGTATAACGCGCGTGCCCAGTATAAACGAAGAGATCCACGTCTATCCAACATGTCATCTGAGCTCACAGGACGCAAAACTACACTATTAATCCGAGTCGGAACGCCAGCTATCAATGATGAACCAGGTGAACTAGACGAATGTAGATGCATTCGCCTCTGAAGAGTGATGAAAACGAATCGGGAGCCGATGGTCAGGATAGCGAATACTAAACGAATTACGAAAAAGCTGAGTGATATAATTAGAGTTGAGAGTGCAATACTAATATAGTTAATTTCGGAGTCTACAACATGAAGACGGTAACTGCCTGCTGCAGAGGGATGGTATACGTCAGTTAACTACAGGCATATCAAGCATGCAAGCCGTATGTAGCCATCTCCATGCACGTCTACGGTCTGCACAAAAGACAATTGCTCGCAACCGTTTACCGACTTGCATACTTTAAAGACCAAAAGTATAGCGACGCAACATTGTCCCTGTAATCCTCTTCACCTTGTCAAGCGTAACGTTTAAGCTTTTAGTTACGGAATCACTGGATTCCACTTACATCCCAGCAGCAGTCTCCTTCACTGTTGTATTTTCTTGGTCCGAGTTTAGCATGAGTTGCAAGAATACTCGGTTCTCCCCAATCGCGATATCCTCTAGCTCAAGTGTATCACATTGAAAATCACTTAAAAGGCCATATGAACCACGTACGTTGCCATAAGATAACCACACACGGCGGCATCCGGTTCCGAATTTGCCTGTCACTGCAGTCATTGGACAACCACAGGATGCCTGCGACTACGGGCGGCTTGCGCTTCACGACTCACACCCCATATCCAAAGTAAATGCGGAGGAATAAGACCGGTAGGCAGGAGCATGGGAGCCACATCTCACTAAAGGAGCCGGCCCACACTGCTTCGACATGTATAACAGCAGCATTGCTGTTTATTTAATTGAGAATCATGCGTATCAGAAGTACGCAAGTCGGTGGCTGAGCGGCTGCTCGTTTCACATTGGATGAAACTACTTTGAGTCTAGCATGGCTTACGACGACCGTGCACCCTGTCCCCTCCAGCAACGACCTACTGTCTCCTGGAGCCAATATGGACGAAGTGGTGGGTAATAGACAGGTAGGCACCTTGTCAACATTCACATCAAGCGCAGCCACACCGGAGATATCAATAAACAACCAACACCTGAAATGCAAAAAACAACACAGGCACACTTACAGCCCAACTGCAGCGATCAAGTGGCACACGTACTATATTAACCGCCTAATTGGCCTGGGTTAGCAAATAGAATGGAAGCGGGACGCGGCGTACTTACGAACGCTATACTGATGCTGATTAGATAAACAGCTGATCCGTCGCCTTCTGGATGCTGGCCCTGCATGGCAACGCTGTTGACTTACCCGACCCGATTGGCTAGGGATTTTCGCGACCATAAAAGCTACAGCGGCATGAGCTTGAGGTCGATAGGATAGATTCCATCTGCTGCTGTCGTTTCCGTACACGGCGTTTGTCCTCCGCGTCCAGCGGTGCCTTCTCCTGCAACTGGGCAACCGCCCTCTTGATATGCTCTCGCGATCGGGCGCCGACCAACTATCATCGCTTTTAAACACCTGAAATCAACATTAGTTCGTGATAAACTCACCTTGATCACGTTCTGGTAACATAACTCCAGTTTTACCACGTGCCGGTTCTCTGCATGCACTTGGCCATACGAAAGCCGCTTAGGTGTCCGCGTCGAATTCTTGTGCCAGATATGCCCGATCCACCTCAGGTGCAGCAGAAGTACGCCGTCCATTGCACACATGCCGCTGCGGGCGCAACACTTCAGTGTCTGGCGGTTGAACTGCTCGCTGAGCTTGGCAATTTTGTTGCAAACGTTTCGTCACCGATCGAGGTGACATCACAGGTGCGTAGTTGAGTGCCGTGCTGTAGCGTAGAGGAGCCTCGGTGAGAGTGAGGCATACAGGAAGTAGCTCCACGCCTAGGTCGTGTCCACCGAATGCTGTTTCCATGACTTTGTCAACTGCGAAGTTAAATAGGAAAGGTGACAGCGGGCAACCTTGTTCCACACCGCTGGACATATTGAAGGACGGCGACAATTTGCCATAAACCCGCACTCTGCCCGAACTATGCGCGTGCAGCGCTTTGATAATGTTTACATATTTATCAGGCACACCTTTCCTCAGCAGACATTCCCCAAGGGCACATCGATCAACCGAATAGAAGGCACCTTTTATGTCAAGAAACACGATAACGGTGGGTCGCCAATAAACATGGCGGTGCTCCAACACTTGACGCAAGGTGAAGATGTGGTCGACGCAGCCCCGACCTCGCCGAAACCTGGCTTGCTCATCACGGATCTGTCTTTCACGAGTGTCGGTCAGTCTGTGGAGAACAGACGCAAGCAATTTAGAGGCAATTGAGATCAGACTGATCCCTCTATGATTGCCACATTCCAAACTGGAGCCTCCCTTGAAAATTGGGACTATGACGGAGCGGTTCCAGTCTGTCTCCTGCTCCCAAAGTTTCACTAAGAACTCATATAACTCATTTACTAGAGCAGGTCCTCCGAATTTGAAGAGAGCTGGGGGAATTCTATCTGCCCCTGCGGCCTTATGCAATTTCAGCAGACTGATCTCACGTTCGACTTCTGCGCGTGAGGGCGGATCCAAGGAGACGGTCCATAAAGAAGGGCGCTCAATGCCCGAAAATGAAAGCGATAACTCAGGTTGGTTAAATTGCCTTGAAAAGTGTTCAGCCCAATGCTCCAAGGGTTTTGACAGGCAGTGGATCGGCTGTTCACTTTCGTCGCGTATGTTCTCGCTAACACCAGGTCTCGTGCTGCATGCTTCCTGTATTAGCCGGAATAATTTACGATTACTACCAACGGCAGCGGCTGTTTCCATCTCAGATGCACAATGAGACCATCAGGCTTCGCGGTCTTCTTCAGGCTAACACGCAGTTTTGCCCTGAGATTGTATTCGCTTCCAGCCGGAATACGTCGGTGAGCATCCATAAGTACCAGAGACTGTGCAGAGACCCAATGTCCAGTTGGCAATTTTCTTTGTCAAATGAAGACATGCCTGCTGACAGTGACATTTGGCGAATATGCATCCAGTGATCTTCCGCGGTGTTCAGTGGGCGCTTAGTCAGCCCGAATGTCAGCGCACTTTGATACACATTCAGAACACCTGCTTTCGCCAGCTGGATTATGCCAATCCGTTCACCTCGACGTTGCGGACGTTCACCGAAACGCACTCAGAGGTCGGCGCAAACAAGTGAGTGGTCAGAATCCACGCTCGTGCTCCAAATCGAGCGACAGTTTGGGACACAGCCTCTCCAGCGGTAACTGATCGCGATTTGCGTGCGTAGCTAATGCGAGGCTGGTGGGCGCCAAATCACGTTTTTGCGGGTGTTGCGTCGAAAGTTTGTGCTCATGAGAAAGAGACGAGCATCTTCACATAGCTGTAGCAATCGCTCACCGTTATCCTTACGGGAACCTACACCATGTTGGCCGCCCAGATGAAGCTCATCAGAGGACAATTATCCGACTTGAGCGTTTAGATTGCTAAGCAACACCACATACCCGTGCTTCTTCTGTAACGAAGGAGCTCGTGAAGTTGCTGATAGAAATCATCTTTCACCGAATCAGTGCTACAGTTTGTAGGGGCCGCAATAACAAACTGGCACCGTTTGTTCCCGCGCGACTTCGTAGCATGAGGCAGCTAATCTAACGGCGCACATCCAACTGTTGACTGGGTTCCAATCGATCAGGGCAGTTTCAGCCCGGAGACTCAAGACAATGCCGACGCCAGCTTGACCGGCGTTTGAAGCTGCATCATCGCCAGACAGGCGCAATGAGAATGTGCCGCCAGTGTCGCATGTGGGGGTCACAGAGTAACCACGTAGCTCGAATCTTGCAGGCGGGTCTCTGATAAACAGCAAATATCGATCTACAGGGTCTCTAGTGTGCGGGCAAGTGTTGCCTGTTGTCCAATCTGTAACAAAGTGCGCATGTTCAGGCATGCCAGTCTTAGCGAGACGCAAGGACTCCAAAGGGAAACGGATGAACTGACGTTGTCCGCTTAGTTGAACATGGACTTGTTGACTGGATTGGAGCGACGCCCTGCGACTGTGCGTGAGTTGAAACTAGAAGACAAGCGACTATTGAAGCAAGCTGGGGGAGGGCCAACTATTGGGGGATTGAAAATGTGAGGAATAAAATTGAAGCTGGAACGGGACGATAAGGATGAAGAAGCGCAAGAAGGGGGATAAGAAGACGGGAAGGCTTAAGCAGTAGCATCCAAACCCCTATCCACCCTGCTCGATGCAGCAGATACGGTGCCGTTTATTATCCTCTGTGACGGGCATAGCATCAAGAAATTGTTTGATGAAGGGTTTATTGTATTGCGTGGGCAGAATACTGTCAGGTTGCCCAGGCCTAGACAGGAGAACAATTAGGGTTCTCAACCAAAGCCTTTGGTTCAAAAACCTTACCGCAAGGCAACGGGGTTTTGGCATTGGACTAGAGAGAGCCCGTTTTATGAAATAAGGAGTCACCCTCATTCCAACCCCAGGAGACTGAGTGTTTCTGGCCTCTAACCATTGACCAATTTGGTATGAGTGGCTTTGAAGGTGCAAAAAGTCCCCAACCAGCATAGCTCAATAGATTACTAAGGCATACAAACCATCGCACCACGTTAAGGTCCAGTCTCGTCACGATGGTTCCAAGCACTAGTCGAAAGGTGTATTAGCCACTTCGACACAGCAGTCTTGAACACCATAGCCGAGTAGAAGAAAGAATAGCAGCTGAAGTGTA